GTACAAAATGCCACCAAGACCTCACAAGCTACCCTGCAGGAATCCATTGCTTTTTACCTGACAGAGCTGTGAAGATAACAACTTTAATCCTTACTCTTTCCAGAGCATCTATTAAAATGCAAAAGACACCCAGTAAACAAATACACTACCAAAAAGGAAAAAAAAACAAAACAACACTCCAAAACACAAAACCAAACAGTTGCTGTTCTTATTTTTAATAAGAGTTAAGTCTTTTTTATTAAAAATTTAGAAATTATAGCACAAATTGCACTTGTGGAAAACTGCTAGAGATGCCTAGATTAACAGAGTTGTCTGAAACTGTTGGATACTGTTGCTAGGAAATTGTAATAGTACAAATCACTATGTAACAATCACTAGCAGCTACTTCTCAACTATGACAACTTCCTAGCATTATTTCAACCTACCGAGGAGTAAAAAGTTATTACCACTTTGTAGATATGCAAAAAAACCCAAAAAAACCCACAAAAAAAACCCCCAAAAATAAAAAAAAAACCACAAAAAAACCCAAAAACCCAAAACCAAACAAAAAACCTAAATAAACAAACAAAAACAACAACAACAAAAAAATAGCCAACACGCAGAAAGAGGTTATGTAAGAATTGTAAAACCTTCACTTTAATTCAGTTATATACAGAGGGATTATACATATTCTCTCACACCATTTTAGCTACCTGATAATCTTACAAACTGCAACATAGCCAACAAGTGAAGCCACAGACAATATAATTTTTAACCCACCCATTTTTCTCATGGCACCAACGCGCTTGCAACAAACGTGGGTAGAGCCCTTCCCAAATCTTCATTCGTGAAACCTAGCCATGATGACAGAAGTATGAATAGTAGGATTACTGAAAGCTAAACAGCCAGATGCAATGTAAATTAGGTCCTGAGAGAGATCTAAGAACAAAGCTGGGAGTAGAATAAATTCAGTTTCAGAGACCGGCCTTTTCCTTTTGATGGAGCTGAAGAGCACCCATGCATTCGGTCCGAAAGCATCCAAGACTTTTACTTCCAGGCAGCCTGAATGTGTCAGCCAGAAAGCATCCCACCACACCCAGCCACTCCATTGGGCCAGCTCCCCAATAGGAAGAGAACTGGCAGAGCTCTCTCCTCGCTAGGAAGCTGCACCTGGGGCTGGGGCAGGGAGCAGCTCTGATCAAGAGTACGCTACCCCAGCCATTTCTGCCTATGGATCTTCTCCATCAGCTGCCATTGCACCTCCAGATACACACTACTGACATTCCTACTGGTAGGCCATGCTCCTCCATTCCAGGTCAGTCGGTCCTTGCTGTCCTGGTGGCTGATGTCACACCTCTCAGTCCACAGAAGAGCCCTCTGTGTGGCAGAGCCCTCTCATGACCCCTGCAGCCCAGGGCCACAGCCTGCACGGGGGCCTCACAGCTGCTGGGGACCTCGCTCTCTCCACTCTACTTATCCCAACTCACGATAAAGATCCTTCAGCTTGTTTTCCAAACATTTTTTTTTCTCTCATCGCTTTCTTCCTGCATTAAAAATATTAAGACTTAAATTATCCTAATTATGAGGCACTCACCACTCTTCATATGCCTCAATAAGCTTCACACTGGAGTAACTCCCTCTGCATGATAAGAAAACTATTGTGGTCAATTTTCATGCAGCCAAAGGGTGAAAAAAACAACCGCAAACAAAAAACCCAACCCCCCACCTCACAAACCCGTGATAGGACCCTGAGATGTTCTTTCCTAATTCAGGAGATTCCTGCATTTTCCCCCACATATTATTGAAAAAAAAGTAACAGGAGCCTTTCCAGCTCTCTGAGGCTATTACAGGTGGGTGACTGCTCATGTCAAAGAGCGTGCAGAGTTGTTGCTGAGCGGTATTTAATTTTCTTATTAGAAAGGTAATATATAAAAAAATAGACCTTGCATACTAGAAAGGGAAAAGGTGTTCAACTCAAGCCAGGTTCAAAATGAACAGCAGGAAGAGCCATGTCAGACTAGCAATTGCAATTGGCACTTCGTCAGGTGAGCCCTTGTCCATATCACAAAGCAACTGCCTATGTAAGCGCGTAACAGGAAGCCAGCAAAATACACATGGCACTTATTCAGCAGAAAAACATCTCTTAATTTTCAGGGCTGGTTCTGGACAGCCAATCAAGGAGCAGGGAGAAGGAACTGTGCAACTCCACAGCCCTTCTCCCATCCTCAATTCTCCTACTCATCCCTGCAGACACTCTCACCAGGCAGTACAGGCTGGGGGCTGACCTACTGGAAAGCAGCTCTGCAGAGAAGGACCTGGGGGTCCCGGTGGACAACAAGGTGTCCATGAGCCAGCTGTGTGCTCTGCGGGCCAAGGCAGCCAGTGGTATCCTGGGATGCCTTAGCAAGAGCATTGGCAGCAGGTCGAGGGAGGTGATCCTGCCCCTCTGCTCTGCCCGAGGCCACATCTGGAGTGCTGTGTCCAGTTCTGGGCTTCTCAGGACAAGAGAGGCAGGGAACTCCTGGAGTAGGTCCAGCAGAGGGCTATAAAGATGATAAAGGGACTGGAGCACCTCCCTTATGAGGAAAGGTTGAGGGAGCTGGGCCTGTTCAGCCTTGAGAAGAGAAAACCAAGAGGGGACCTCATCAATGTCTATAAGTATTCGAAAGGAAGGTGCCAAGAAGATGGATTCAGGCTCTTCTCAGTGGTGCCAAGCAATAGGACAAGAGGCAACAAGCAGAAACTGATGCACAGAAAATTCCACCTGAATATGAGGAAAAACTTCTTTACTATGCAGGTGATTCTGAACAGGTTGCCCAGAGAGGTTGCGGAGTCTCCCTTACTGGAGATATCCAGAACCATCTGGACACAATCCTGTGCCATGTGCTCTAGGATGACCCTGCTTGAGCAGGGAGGTTGGACCAGGTGACTCACTGTGGTCTCTTCAAACTGGACCCATTCTGTGATTCTTTAAACCATTTGGTACCGTGTAAAATTCTATTGTACTTAATATTGCTGCAATACATGTAGACCTTGTGATTTTTAGTAAACCAACTGATAAAAGTGGGCACAGGTAAGAAAATGCCTGGATAAGTGCTATTTAAAAACTTTCACTGATGCAGCACATTAATTCTCTGCATGATGCACTTTCATTAACGATGCTCCTCTCAGTAAAAACATCCCTGTGATAAGGTATGCTTCCTACTTAATTGGTCATGCCTGAGAGCTGGGCACACAGCATGTGCATGGGAAAGAGATGGGCCCCAGCCTTGGCAACAAGAAAAGGCGGACTAAGACAAGATCAACACTTTGAGCAGACAACAAAGCAGATCTGGCTTTGTCAAGGGACACAACTCCCCTGCAATTCCCAGTGCCCCTGCTAATTCCACACTCAAGTCACTGTCTTGAGCATGCAACGGGAGGCTGTCTATTTAAGCGAGAAGCAACATGTACTACATAGCGCACACAAGCCTGAAACAATCACTAGGGGCAAATGCAATTGAGTTTACCAGTTTTCTTTGTGATGCTGCTGGCAGCCTGTGTGCTCACACAGAAAGACAGCAACTACAGTTGGGAAGGAGAATATGGGACTTGGATGTTTGTACAAGGCCTTGCTTATGCCCCTGGAAAGCAAATCTTGTCCTGCTTTTCTGCTACATATACAGGTGCCTGGAACACAGCCTGGAAGTCCAGGCTTTTGTCTTCAACTCTCTTTCAGGCCACCTTCAAAGCTTTTGTTTTACACAGCACTGCCTGGCACCCCTACTGTGACCAAGCTCTGTCCTCATTACAGCACCGTCTATAAATGTGACCTAATTTTTATGCCTGAATATCAACTTCTTGGACCTCTGCCTCTCCACAAGGCATGTGCTGGGGTAGGATCTCATACAGCTGCAGCTAGAAACCTAGAAGACAGGCGTTGCATTGAAGTAGCTCAAACAAATATGGTAATAAGTTGACCAGCATGTTGAATGCAGGTGCACGCAAGCATAAAAAGTTTTCTCAGTCATCAAGCAGCTTAAGAACTGTGTGCAACCCCATATCACCACCAACCAGTTCTCTGGGGCACGGCATGAAACAGCACAGACAGTAAAAGGACTGCGAAAACACTTTGGAGCACAGTCCAAGTCCCCTCAAATTTATTCTCGTATGTTTCCCCAGGGCAAAACTACCCCAGATTCCAACAACTGTTAAAAACTCCAGACCAGGACGATAGCTATGGCAAAACAGTGTGGAAACAACCAAATCTGCAACAGTATGAATTACCCAGAAAGGCAGTAAGTACCAGCTATCTGTAGTTATATTCTGAATTTTTTAATGACAATGGCAATCACTTGCAACTTGAATTTTAACAGCTTACACAGTTAAGTGTGGATGACCACAAGGAACACTTACTGGTTAGGGTCCTCAGAGCTCACCATCTGAGAACTGAAGGGAGCAACTAAACCCCTCTGAATATTTTATCGAGGCAACTGGAACAAAAGCTGACACGTCTGAGACTCGCACACCATTCTCATCGTTATGAGGGCGTTTCGATAAGCTTTATCTCGCCTTGGGCAGGTTACGGCAGCAGCTGCCCGCAGGCCCAGCACACACTGCTGCGCCCGCTCTGTGCGGTGACAATGCCCCCATCTCCGAAACCACAGCCTGAGTTCAGCCGGATCTCGCACAGCTCTTTATTGCACACCTGCAAAGGCCTCTGTGGCACACAAGACTCAGACCCAGCGCCCTTTCCAGCATCGCTCACCCTCGACGGCGAGCAAACCCACACCTCGACACACTGTCACCTCCCATGCACACGGGCTCCCCGGGGCCGGCTCTGCTGCCACAGCAAAGCCTCCAAGGAGGGGCCTGCGACACTGCAAGGCAACGAGGAGGAGACCGAGCTGCTCCCTCCGAGGCCCCGGCCGCGGCGGCTCCGAGCTCGGTCCCTCACAAGCTCCAGCCGGTGCCCCGTTCGCTTCGCCCGCTCCGGCCCGGCCCAGCCGGGGGTAGAGGGGGCACGCTGCCCCCACTGCGCATGCGCGCACAGCGCCGCCACCACGCCCGGGGAGGGGGAGCTGTGCCGGCCGCGGAGCCGAGCGGGGCGGCATGGCCAGCCTGCTTCCCGCCGCCGCTTCTCCCGCCGGCGCCCCGTCCCGCAGCAAGAAGCGCCCGTCGAGCCCAGGCACCGGCGGCGGTCCCGCCAAGAAAAAGAAAGCGGCGGCGCCGGGTAGCTCGCAGGTAATGGTGGGAGTGGGCGACCAGCGCGCATGCGCGGCGGTGAGCTTCTCTTACTTTCCCTTCCTTTCCCTGTCCCGCCCCCTCGGCGGGGATTGTCCCCGTTCCCGGTATCGCCGGGTATCCTGGGACACGGCATCGCCTCCCGCCCGGCTTCCCGCGGCATTCCTGCTTCCTCGCTGGAAGCTGCCGAGTCCCAGAGAAGGGCTGGCCGCTGGGTGCCTGCCGGGGGACCGCCATGTCCCTCGGGCTTACAAGTCCCTTCCAGGCGTTGGAATGCCGAGTTTCGGGCCGCTTCCTTCGTCTCCCTGTATCGTGGAGGTTGTGTCCCCTCGATGTGTACAGCTGGACTGGTGGTGTCGTTCTCACGCCTTCCCCAACCGGATGTGTGGGTCAGAGGCAGCGCTTTACCGGGATGCGGTGGGAGCTGCGTTTGGAAGCACCGAGATGTCCAGTGTGGTCACAAATGTATGGTGACACAAGCGTGCGGTGACACTTTCTGATCAAACCGCCCCGCGGCTGTTCCTTGTTCCCCGCGCTCAGCCTTCAGCTTTGTACCTGAGCTCTGTGCGCACACCCCCACGCATAAACCTCTGATCGCGCACGATGGTGATTTTAGTTCGAGGTAGCTGATGTGTCACGGAGCAGACACTAGTGCTGGACAGAGCACAGTTCAACAGCTGCTAGTTCTGCTGTGTGCGGCTCAGGTGGCCTTCTCTCAGTTGGGCTAAGTGAACAGAAGACTTAAACGTGAAATGAAGATGTAACCTCAGAGCCTGAGTTTCAGGGAACAGGGCCAGGGGAGGGAGAAGGGCTATTAAGGTGAGTTTCTTCTAAACTCCAATCCTCAATCACAGCGGGTGGTACAGACTGTTTCTGCATTATGTGACACCACCACCCATCCCCAGTTAATGTCATCTGCCTCTTGATGAAGGAAACATCTCATGCTCCAAAACTAAGTCCCAGAATGTCTTCAGAATCAGTGTGTATGCGACACCTGTATAGACTTGAGATGCCATATGTCTCATTACTTCTTCAAGAAAGATTTTGGTAGCTAAAGTGGTCAAAAGATGGTTGGAAAAAATGGCTGTCTTTTTTCTTTCCCCTGGAAATGACTCTTCTCAGTCATATTTCATGAACTATAACAGTAGCTACAAAGTATGCCCTACTACTAGTTAGGTTGCTTATTTTCACGTGAACCATCAGATCAAGGGAATGTTTATGTGTTTTTCAGCAGATCTTCTCTCCAGGCAAATAAAAGCCATTGTGCACACGCCAGAGCACAGGCAGAAACCCTTCCTCATTTGAATGATCCTCTTGCAACACTTGTTTTCACCCTGTGGCAGTTCCATGGTTTCTTGACTGGTGGGCTTATCCCTAGGAGAGGGAGTACACACCATAGTGCTTCAAGTCACTAACAAACTGCACCACATCACGTTTCACAACTTTTTCAAGGTGGGATACAGATAACAATCTGGATTTTCCCCTGTGGAGCAAGCTGCTCTGTGCATGTGTGCGTGTGTGTGTGTGTATGCAGATATAAAACATTATTTATTTATATATTATTTAAATGTGTATAGAATCATTTATATTTAAAAAACTTCCCCAAACCCTTCTGCCTCTAAAACTGTTTTCTGAAGTGGATGCCAAACTAAAGCTTGTGGACAGCTTCCAGTATTATGAGACTTTTCTTACTGAAACTGTGTTTCAATACTGCTTGATAAACAGTTTTTGTAATTTTTCTCACAAGTGATTTCAGTGGAGAAAGATGTAATTTCTCAACACTGCGTCCGAGTTAGCATATACATTGACTGACTTCAGCAGTGCAGATCAATCCAATAAGGAAAAGAAAAAATGAGTCTCAGAAAAAGTAACCTCAGGAGTGGGACAAGGAACAGCTCGTTGATCTTCTGGCAATCTCATTCAATGTTGCTGACTAGCTCTGAGTGAGGCAGTTCAAACAGAAATGAAATGGGACTTTGCATTTTTTGACTTAGAAACATTGATCATCGAGCACCTTCTTCTGCTGTATGTTATTTAATCTTAATCTCCAGCAGTCCTTAAAAGACCTTGGTTAATTGCTGAGTAATATACTTTTTCTGGATAAGGAACCTGTGACACAATGAAACAATAATTCTAGTCTAATGAGCTATTCAAAATGTAGCCAGTCAACAAGCACTTAATGCTCTCTTTTTTTATAATATACTCAATCTTTAAGTGGCTCAGTCAGTCAGGGACTAGGTCATCCATGACTTAAATACTTTTTCTGAATATATTATATACCAAATATCCAATCATGTGGGATTTTTATTTTATTTTGGATTTTTAACTCCAAACAAGTGACATTCATCTGGTAGTCTGATTATACACTTTTCATGCACACCAGTTTCAGCACAAGTTTGGAGGTAGCATTTGTTAATCTTCTGACCATTCACTTTCCTAATTAACCCCTTTGATATTTTACAGCCTTTTATAGCCTGTTTTCAGCCCTTTAGAAGCTAAATGTGTCCTGCCATAGGTCAGCATTAAATAATTTCTATTTTAAGCAAACTGACATTCTGAAAGGGATAGAGAAATAGTGAATTATTTCTTAGTTAAGTTGCAAACTACAGGTAAGGGAATCCCTACTGGGAGGTTTATAACTACTTGCAGGGGTCAACTTAGAATCTGGGGACTTTCCATTATATTAACTAGTAACTTTTGCTGAGAACCTTGTCCCAGCCTATGTGAAAATACACTTCATGTTGTTCCAGCTGTGAACATACCCACATCTCTGATTCCATCATTGTGAAATTAAACAAAAGAAGATTTTTGTAAGTTCTGCAAAACACATACTTATTTTTTTCTTTTGTACGCTCTGTGTTACAAGTAGCTATCACAGTGCTCACCCTGAAAGACAGACCAGTCTGGTAAGAGTGTAAATTTAAAAAATGTGTTTATTTTTTATATAACAAATTTGCTTAAGCATAGCAATGTAATCAACTAGTTTGAGTAACTGTGTGTATCCTACAAGAAGGCACACAGAATTACACAGCATACAGATTTTTTTAAACTCCAATTTGATTCTGTTTCTCCAGCATGTGAATTGCTACTTTCTCTAAGACACACTTTAGGAACATTACTAAGAAACATTCTTCATCATTTGGTTGGAGCATGGTGCTCATAATGCCAAGGTTATGGGTTCAATCCCCATATGGGCCATTCAGTTTAAGAGTTGGACTCGATGATCCTTGTGGGTCCCTTCCAATTCAGAACATTCTGTGGGATTTGTATGAGTTACCGACCCAAAGGTATTGAGCCATGTTTGTTTTGGAAGCACATTGTACGTAGGGCTTGTCAGTCATGTCAGCAGAAGGAGACACATGCTCCCAACGTTGAATAAACAAATACCTTGCTGCTTAAAGATAAAAAATCTCTGAGCAGTTTCTTGGACCGATTTTTCGGATTCAGCATTACACAATTATTCCTCCCATGCTGTTGTGCCACTGAAAAAGACCTCAGTCTTTGCTGCAGCAATGTTGAGGATTATTATGTATATTAAATGGTAACATTAATGTCTCAAAACCAATACTGTGTAGTGATTTACACAGCACCATTCAGTCAGATGTCCCTGCCCAGTGGTTCCCAACAGCTGCTGTGCTGATTCAGCTCCATTGCTGGCTTGTGTGCGGACTTGTCTCCAGGTCTTCTGTCTTATTAATTACTATCACTTAGCCTGGGTTAGAATCTTGGACACTGATCTTAAAATGCCACTGGTTCTTCTACCTTAATGTTCACACTATTATTTTTATAAATTATACAGCAACAGGAAGCTTTAAAAAGAGTATATTCTAGACGTAAGTAATGAAACACAATGCTTGCCTGTGACATCCAACAAGCTTAAAGATAAAATTTCCAGTAAGATAAGAGAATGATTTGGAAAAAAAAAAAATCTCTGACTTTTTCATAGGACAATTAAAAAGAGAAAATATGCTAAATATTGTGGTAAATCTATATTTGCTTGCATTATTTGTGAAACAACTTTAGACTTAACCTGATGAAGTATAATAAACACTTTACTTTGAGAATGACATCATGTTTTGTCTTACATTTTTAATTGATGTAAACTGCCCTGTAAACTACAGAAATACACAGAGAATATTTTTTGCTTCCCTCGTCTCCATTGCTATAATAACAGCAGATCTTGGTACTATTTAGAAAATAAAGGCCAAACTTCTGTAGTGGTATTTAGAAGTTAAATTGTTAAATATATGGATTTTATCTACAGTTAGAATTATTGCAGCAATACTAGTAACCTTCATTTTATGTAACTAGCTCTCATTTGTATACTTAACACTTTCTGTATTTCTTGTTCTATGCTTAAAAATAAAAGCTATACAACAATATTAGAAAATAAAATCAAAATGCTTTAAAGTTACCATCCTCTTAAATAAACTCTTCTAATGTACAACATGAAAAAAACCCGAGTGACTCTAAGATGCTCTTAGAAATCCATTTTTGTTTTAAAGATAACTAAATTATGATTCTATGTCATAAACTGAAGATCATCAGATTTCAAAGTTCTGATAGAGAGCTGTAAGTTCAACAAGTGGACTTAAATATATACGTGGTTGCTGTTACATACTCAGAAGCTGCCCACTAAAAACAGAGAGCTTACCCTAGTACATAAATAGCATAGAATTGGACCCTGAACCATCAGTAAATTTAATCAATTCTCCTGTTACGCTATTTTACCAAGCCTATCGCTTTTAGTAGGAAACCATCAAATCAGTTTAAAAATTACTTTGTTTTAAAGAGTCCATTTGATCTGGCTGTAATTTCCTGAAAAACGAGGTTAGGGTGAAGGAGTTTAACTGTAGAATTGGCAAGTACAACTGCAACTACTGAGGTGAACTACTGTTCTCCATGTTCTGGGACATATATCTGCTCTAGTGCAGGTATCGTCATTATGCATTAGACTACACTTTTTGTGTTAAAACATCTCTCAGCCCTTAAAATTATGA